CGCAGTCCTCAGATTAAATCTCCCTTTCCACTGGTGATATCAAGACTCTAATCAGAGGTGGACAGAAGTAGGCTGCAGCTAATTGTCATTATTAATTAATCTGCTGATTATTTTCTAAATTAATGGATTATAATGATAAATTGTCCAAATAAAATTGCCGGTTATTTCTGTTGATTGACATAATAAGTTAAGAGACTAATTGTCTCAGCTCTAGACAGAAGTGTGTTATAGTCAAACATAAGAAGCATTAAGACCTGCGGGCATTGATCAGAATATTTAAATGCAGTCATTACAGTAACAGCTTTTATACGGCTCTCGGCTCTCAGCTGGGATAACGAGAGAGAAAGAGAGAGAGAGAGATTGATCTGGAGGAATGACCCCAAAGCTGATTATTATTGTTGTCCTCATTACTAATCTTTATTTCTAATGAACTTAATTTAGTCCACCTAAACAAATTAAACTCAAATATTGTTATCCAGAGAATATTTGACTCAAATATGTAGTGAAGTTGATATTCATTTCGTATTTATTTCATGAAAGTACAGTTTTCACTGACGATGCATTATTGGCTCAAAAAGCACGATAATTCTAAAATCGGCCACCATCACAAAACCAATAAAAGGGTGCAGCACCCTGATTCTACATAGCGACAGTCGGTCATATAAACCCGTCCTCTGTACGGACATTAGGCATTCCAGTTTCACACGAGACACTTTGATGAGCAAAAATACAACATAACGTCTTATTCTGTCTCTCAAGTGACGGTGGCACAATATGCAGCAGTCAAAAAGTCTCAGGTATTAAAAAAATATTTCATCTTTGCATACATTAAAATACCATTCATAAGAACACTGAGATACCAGTAGATTACAGTCAAACGGTATTCAAATGAATTCAACAACATTGTTTCTGCATTATTATTATTATTACAGATTGCAAGAAGTAAACAATCAGTCCTGTCCTCTGAAGTGTGTCCTCATGGTAGCGGTGACACATTTGATGCCTCCCTGTTGCCTCAAGAACGTGGGTTGTTGTCCTGCAGCAAAACAGTTGATATCAGTCAGTTTCTAAAAAATCGGAATCATTACAAATTGAACAAACAGAACACAGTGTTTACCGAGCAGTACGATGAGTAGGACAGCAGGTGGTCCTCCAGGAGATGTGTTGCTCTTCCTCTAATCTCTCCTTCACTGTTGTACTGAACGGCTTCTAACAGTGAAAGGCCGCCTTGCCTCACAAACTCCTCTGCCACCTTAAGGGAAGGAATAACTTGAGTTAAAGCTGTCAGAACTACAGTAGCTATTCATTGTCTGGTTTGGTTATCCCTACTGGGCAAGTTACCTGTGGACCACTAACTACCAGCATGTAAAGGACCTCCATACTCAAGGTAACCATCTCTTGGTCGGCCATTTTCAGTGTGGCACAGAGTGCAGACAGCAATCCACGATGGGCCAGCTGAGCACAGAACTCCTTTTTCTTGTGGGCAATATTTGCTAGAATCCTCAGGATCTAACAAGAATATAACAAAAAGAGGCAGTAAGATAGAGTGTGTGAGAAATGAGGGACTCAAAGAAACAAACACATTGTTCGTCATCACGTGCTACAATGACATAATATTCTGTGAAATATCAAAGTTTGGCTCTAGCTTGCACGGACCATGGTGTTGATGCCTTGAGAAAAGGGGAGGAGCTTGATCAGTCCAGGGACCAAGTTGAGAGTCAGCAGAGCGGAGCAGAAAGCACTGGAGTGAGCTGCAGAGAGGGAAAATGCATTGGAGCAAACTTCATTACACATATGAACTCCTAATAAACACAATCATCATAGTACACAAGGTTCCTGCAGCCTGTATTAAAGCTTTTACAGACTTGTTTAATGGCATTCTGTGTGATTCCACTGCCTCGATTGTTTTTATGCCGAGTTTGAAAAACGTCCTGCACAAAATACAGCGAGCCGCGTACACATTACCTAGCAAAACCCATATAAAAAAAACACCTACATACATTTTAGTTAGCATTTGAATGGGGTGAATATTTGAAGAAACTAAATTTAAAAACCTGTTTGGGTGCAGGCATTGATCATAATATATTGTACAATATTACTTTTGTGGCATGAGCTGTCCTCAAACCCAGTCTGTCCCTGACCCCAAATGACCAGATAATATAGTAAAGAGAGCAGAATCAGTGCAGACAGATGTGTTTGAGAGTCAGCAGCAATGAGGCGTGACTACGACAGACTGTTCAAACCTGTGAGGTTGTTGAGGACCCAGGCACTCTCTCTAGCCAACGACGGCTGGGTCTGCAGGTAGGCCTGAAGAAGTGCACATAGAGCCACCACGAGACGAACGTCACCCACGTGAGTGCTCAGGTCTGTCACGGGAAAGGAGGACAGAAGGTTTCCCACGCACCTCAGCAGAGGACAGATAAACTAGAGAGGAGGAATTGAAAATCTCCATGTCAGCGAAAAAAAGTTGCACACTCCGTTGCATACTTCTTCAAAGTTTATTAATAATCTACTGGCCAAATGGCACCAAATATTTCATGTTCACTCAGACATAATTTTATGTCCACCAAACACTTTGTGTACAAATATATATATATATATTTGTAATTTGTAGGCGGAGTAGCAAAAAACTGATTTGGACAAAATTCAAAAATGGCGGCAGACAATCTTAACGCAAATGGGCGTGGCTTATATGGATCGATTCATCCAGAAATCACAGAAAGAAAATGATTTTGTTTTTGACACTTTCTATCTTTTTTGTCAAAACAAATGAACAGTGGTGCACACATGATTTGTTCTGAGAATTTAAAAACAGAACAAAGTGTACAGGCAAAAACAAGAGCCTTAAAAAACAACAACCATGAAGAAATATGTATTCAGTCCATTCATTTCCTTACCAGCTCCAGTCCTTCTTCTTTGTTTCCTTCAGCCACAGCACCACCTAGTGACACTAACAGGGAACTGCACTGCAGCAAGGCCCCATGAGCCAACAGCACTCTGTTGTCCTTCATGCTATAGAGCGAGATAAAGGCAGAAGAGAGACAGATCATCACTCTTATTACATATAATGACAACTGACTATATACTGTATACGAGACTGTTGACACTTCTCTCTCTCACCCGCATGTGAGGTAGTGCAGACACCACGCACACTCGATGGAAGGTGCCAGGCCAAACTTTGGGTCAGGAGTCAGGACGGATAACAAGCTTGAAGGCAAGCTGGAAGCAAAGACCGCCCTGCAGACACAGAGGAAGACTATCACGCAGCGGACAAGTTGTTTATTAAAAGCAATGCATCATTTTCTGAGAGAACAGCCATAAAGAGAGTAGAGAGATAAACTGGTGTGTCATTACAGGATTATTTTCTCTGCTGCATCTTTAGCCTGGAGAAACTGAGAGAGGGTGAATCCCACAGCTTCCACCACCGCCAGGTTATGTCTCTGGTTCTGGACAGACACACAGAAGATATCAAGTGGGACATCTTAACGTTACTATATTTGTTACTTTACATTACTACATTGAGTGGCACCAGTTCAGAGCTATGGTAGAAATTAGATTTGGATTTAGTTTCTGAGTTTACCTCTAGACAGTTGGCCAGAGCTGGGATGATTCCCTGGGCCAGGAGCTTCTCTTTTACAATGTCGCTGTCTGGGCATAAATTACCGAGCGTGTACAGACACAGCTCCTGTGTACACATGAACGTACACGCATGGAAAGTTAAAATCCCCCCTGCATAGTTAGGCGATAATATTACACTTCACCTGGTATGAGAGAGTGTACTCACGGTGAACTTGGTGCTCTGGCCAGACAGGTAGGTGAGCAGGTAGGGGGTGGCAGGCAGACAGGCCGGTGACACGTTGGTGTGGGGAGAGTGAGACAGCTCATGAAGGCACCGGACAGCCTGCAGACGGCAAGTAGCGTCAGAGCCAGTGAGGAGCCCTACCAGAAGATGCATGCTATTCTCCTGTCTACAGGGAGGACATATTATCACACAGACGCATGAGAAACAGAGATACGCATGCCAATAATGTCATTTAATATCGCGTTTGATGCGGCGGCAAAAGTTACCACCGTACTTGATGAAGGTGAGCTGTGCCGATGGGTCGCGGAGAACTTTACTCAAAGCTTTGAGGTGGGCCTCCCTGCCTGGCCCACTGGGTTGAAGTTTGAGGAACAGACTGACCACGTCCTGTAAGCGAGGAGCAGATTCAGACGGTAGGTTTGACTTGATCTACCAAAGCACAACCTGTGGTCGTCTGCCTCACCTGCTCTCCCGGGTGGGTGTCCATGGTGGCCTCTGGCTGGTCCTCGTCATCATTGAGCAGGAGTCTCTTGCTCACAAGCTGCCGGTCTCTGCGGGCTCGTCTCAGTGCTACAACATTGAACATAGACACAAAATCACTTCACCTTCTGTCATCTGGGAGAGAGATGTCATATCATACTTACTGTTCAGTGTAAAAGCCATTCATCTGTCAAATGGCCTGTGGTTGATGAATAACACACTGTATGGATGTCACAGTAGCTGGAGGAATTTAGTTACAGATGTAATTTTAACATCATGACTAGACATCCATTTGTATTTTTGTCCTCTATGTATTAGATATTGTGTTGTCTTCCTGACTTGAAGACTGTGAAATGAATATTAAAAGGTCCCACATGGTCCATATCTCCGTACTGAATGAATCTCTGGGTTAAATTCATAGATAGATAGATATATACTTTATTCATCCCCAGGGGGAAATTTGTAAAAGTTCTCTGCATTCGACCCATCCCTATGTAGGGAGCAGTGGGCTGCCCACCACAGGCGCCCGGGGAGAAGTTAGGGGTTCAGTGTCTCGCTCAGTGACACTTCGGCACAGGACATGTAGCAGCCAAGGATCGAACCGCCGACCTTGCTTTATATTGATTTACATGTTTATCTGAACCATATCTATACACACTTAAGTTAACGTAAACGTCGTTTCAATGCATGACTATCTTAGCTTGTTAACTAACCGATAAGTTAACGTTAAACAAACGTTAGAAAACTATAACGTTATACGTGATAACTTTAACATAACGCTTTTTAACACTCACCTTTCTCGTGCTCTCGCCTCTTTAACTTGAGCTCCTCCAAACTGTCGCCTTGTCGACCAGCTTTGTGGCGAACTTTGTTTAACCGCCACATTTTTGCTAGATCTTTGCTAAAACCAGTGCTATTGAATGAAGCTAACGATGTTAGGTATATGACCAAGGAGGTGCGATGTTGGAGTGTCACAGCAGATGGCGCTAGAGTGCAGTTCAACCAGTTATTGGGTATGACGCATGCGCAGTGTGTAACTGGAGTTGCGATGTTGGAGTGTCACAGCAGATAGCGCTCGAGTGTAGTTCAACCAGTTATTGGGTATGACGCATGCGCAGTGTGTAACTGGAGCTGCGACGTTGGAGTGTCACAGCAGATGGCGCTAGAGTGCAATTTAACCAGTTATGGGGTATGAAGCATGCGCAGTGTGTAACTGGAGCTGCGATGTTGGAGTGTCACAGCAGATGGCGCTAGAGTGCAGTTTAACCCGTTATGGAGTGTGACGCATGCGCAGTGTGTCTAACCGGAGCTGCGATGTTGAAGTGTCACAGCAGATGGTGCTAGAGTGCAGTTTAAACAGTTACGGGTATAACACATGCGCAGTATAAAAAGAACCGCAATGTTGGTGGTTTACAGCAGGCAGCGCTAGAATGCAGTTAAACAGTTAAACGTTAACTAAGCTAGTTGGTTATTTCATGGAAGATGTTATTGTAGAAGAGACAGGTCAGAAATAAATAGATATAGAGCATCTGTCGTTGTAGCTGTCAGTCCTGCACATACACTGTATGTATAACAAGTCCTGCGCCAAAACAGAAAAATGAAGTTCTTCGTCTGCAGCGCCATCAAGCGGACACACGTGTGTGAATATAGGCTGCTGAACAGTAACAACCTGAACACACTCCATTCATCTTCTCTCGGTCCACATACTTAAGACTCCAGATGGGTACAGGTATAAAGAAAATGAGGAGTTTCATTTGTATTAAAAGATTTATTTACAATGCATTCAGGAAAGGTTTAAAAAAAAACGTACTTTTCAAAAACATAGGTATTTAACCCAATAACTAAATGGCTGTTAAAATTGTTTTCATATATTTAAAAAAAATGTTTTGAGTGATGTATTGTTTTTATCTCAAGGGCTGAGTTAGTAGGCGTGTGTTGAGAACAAATTAAGATTTAGGACCGTCATGGGAAAACTTCCTGAGTCTGAAAGATAGTGTTTAAGAGAGACGTATTTTGTTCAAAGGAATATCTTAAGAGGGACAATCTATTCCATGAAACTATCAGTTATTAATCCCTTTAACATTGTCATGCCATTAAAATGGCAATATCAGATAAAACAAAAAAACATATACAGCGTAGTGTGCCACACACACTGTGGAACACAAAATAAATGAAAAAGATAAAAAATGTACCAAAAATAGAAATATCTTCTTTTATCTTTTATATGATCCCTTTAACCATTAAAATCTGATTAACAGTGAGGGAGACGGGATGCGTTGCCTTCATTCTTTGGATCTGATGAAGAATCAAACATCTTCAAGACTCTGTGCTTGCGGAGGATTTCTTTTTCTGTGAAGAAAATAATTAGTAAAATCAAAGAGATCTGATTAACTGAGAAAATCCTCTAGTGCTCAAACTGATGACATGTTATTCTGCTTTGAGAAGAGTAGGTGAAGAGCACAGCGCTGTGATACCTTTTTGTGGGGGGTGTCACTGGAGAGTGTTTGTGGTGCTGCAGACTCTTGGATGGAAACCGGGACTTCAGCTGATTTCAACTTGATTTTCTCTGAAAGAATGGAAAATGAAAAAGTGAATGCAAACTTGCAAAATAAAAAAAAAAATTGCATTTTGTTATTATGAACGTGATCTATCTACTCACTTTTCTTCTTCTCTGTTGGAGGACTTGATGTTCCAGTGTTGGGTGGAGCAGGAGGCTCTGCGTCATTGGTTTTCAACAATGAGTTATTTTTCTTTTTCTTCTTCACTTCAGTAGTCTGCTCTGGCTTTTCCTCTCCGTCACTGCTCTTTGATTTCTTTGTCTTTATATTTTCTTCAGCTCTCTGCTCCGACATCTCATTAGGATCAGCTTTGGGCTTTTTTTTCTTTTTCTTTTCTTCAACTATCTGGTCTTGGTTTTCTTCATCAGAAATATCCTTTTTCTTTGCTTTCTTTTCTTTATTAATTTGCTCAGAATTTTCCTCACTGTCAGCAGTCTCCTTTCTCTTCTTCTTTGCTTTTTTTTCTTCAGCCATCAGCTCTGAATTTTCATTTCCTATTTGAGCTGCTGGCTCTGAAGTGTCCTCACTGTCAGTCTTCTTTCTCTTCTTCTTTGCTTTTTTTCCTTCAGCTATCAGCTCTGAATTTTCCTTTACCATTTGAGCTGCTGGCTCTGAATCAGTTTTCTCCTTTTTCTTAGCTTTCTTTTCTTGCACTATTGGCTTTGACATTTTCTTATTATTAACATCGCCATTTTCGTTCTCTATTACTTTTTCTTCAGTCTTGTTCATTTTGCTACCTCCCTTTGTTCCCTTTGCCTTCTTCTTCTCTTCCGCAGGTTTATCATCTCTTATCTCTTGTGCTGTGACTTCAGTCTGCTTTTTGTCTTTACCGTCTCTGTCTTTTCCATCTCCACCAGTCTCATGAGTATTCTCTTCCACCGTGCCTTCAGTCATCTCCACCTTCTTCTTCTTCCTCTTCTTCTTGGGCTCAGACATTGCCTCATCAGTTTGTTTCTCCTTCTTTGGTGTCTGTTTTGATGGGGAAAGACCGGGTGTTGCTGGTGTGTCTTCTACAGCGTTGACGTTTGGCTCTTGGCTCGGGGTGGCAGACGAGGTCACAGGTGCAGTCTTTTTTGGCCTGCTCCTCTTGGCTGTACTAGTCTTTGTTGATGTTTCTGTCACGGCTTTCTCCTCCACCTTTTCATTATTTTTAACTGTCCTGTTACTCTGTTGAACCGGAGCGTCTTTTTTTGCGGGAGACTTGGCCCGGGATTTCCTCACTCTCTTTTTCACGGGTGGTGGTTCAGACGAGTCCAGTGCATTGATGGTGTCCATCTTAGATATGTCGGACTCTGTGGACAGAGTAAACACGGTGAAGACATTGAAGAAAACACATGGCACAAATGCTTAAAAGAAAACAGCCACACAGCTACTGTACACAGCTCTGTTAGTATGAAATCACCGTTTCCCATGGTGAGGTTGTTCTTGGGAGGTGCTGTCCTGTGTGGGGGTTGTCTTCCTCCCTTTAAGTGAGAGGACCCAGCGCTCCCTGTCTTTTCATCTTCCACCATGTCCTGCACTTTCCAATCCTCTTAACGTTCTCCACCTCTCCATCCTTCAATCTGTCTCTTTCCAATGTGAAAAACACACATTCCTCCTCTTAACTGGAGTATCTGACTATGTCAATCATTTCTGTGCTTGGTCTTTGGGAATCTTAACAGTAGCTTAATCTGATGAAGTGGGATTTGGTCTGTGGTGCAGAAAGGAAATCATGCTTCTAAAACTGTGATTCTCCAAATCACTTCATCCTTTGCATGCACGCAAACGATACCCTCAATAATACCACGCACGCACGCGCACACACACACCTGTCATCTGCAAGACCAGACTCTTCCATTTATCTTCATCCAGACTGCTGTCAGAGTCTGAATCACCTCCTCCAGGAGACACAACCGTGTCTTTTGCACGGCTCTTTGATTTTTTCGCCTTGGAGACATTTTCTGCAGATTTTCCATCACTTATTTTCCTTTTTGCTGGCACAGACTAACAGAATAGAAAAGAGAGAACAGGCTGATCAGTAAAGGTATGGAACATGAACCGGACCAGTTCTTAAACGTGGCTCAAATGTCGCATTTAATAAAAAAAAAATAATCACCTTTTTTGGCGTTTCTGCTTTGTCCTTCTTTTTCCTTGGCGTGGCTGGACATAAAAAAGTGTGTAGAATGGGTTAAAAATGCATTCAAATCCACATGCATATCAGTTCTCACTTTGTACTGACAGGACTGTTGCTGTTGCAGCAGCTGGAGCTTCCCAACTTGTATTGAAGTTTGAGGGATAAAGTCAAGCTTAAGGTTCAGCTTTAAGCACTAAATAAGAAACCGTACATCTTAGAACATTTTAGAAAGAAGGAAAAACCAAATCATCATCAAAATCAAACAGAGACAAGTCTGACAAGTTGGAGAAGTGATCAGGAGTCTCTTTTTATAACACATTATCCACAGTAATTGTTTACCTACAAATCAGGAAATGTATGTACACTAAAAAGTACTCTGTTTTACAAAACCTTATTAATTTCCCTTTAGAAATCTCACATCAGCTGCCCATCGTCTCTTTACGGTGAATCACGGCAGCTACCGAGAGTAAGACACAGAAAAGTCATTATTCGCACACAGAAATTGAGTTGCTTGTGGGCGAGGTGGTCCCCTCCTCATTCTTCCATTCTCGTAGTCCTAACAGCGACAGTGCATCCATCACGCAGCATTACACAATATGTATACGGTAACAGCATCACACTGATTGCTTCCAAAATGATCGTGTCAATCGGTAATATCCCCCACGGATTTCATTTGAAAATGGAGGTTTGATGGTTGAACACAATGTATTTAACTTTTGTTATGGTGAACTTGCCCTGCATTATAATTAGGACTCATAATGAGGATGTGGAGAGCGTGTGCGAGAGCTGTCACTGGTTGTATTGCATCGGATAGCCGTTTTTAGATCGTCTGTATACAGTAAACTGTAACTGTCCCTCTGGAATAAACCACAAATTAATCAAATACGTTGTTTTCACTGCAGCGATTCTACACATAAATACTACATGAAAACTAAAATCTTACTTGGTGATAATAGAAAATCATTGAAAACTATTGACACTCTGTTCTGAAATTCTTTATTTTATGTTATCTTGGATTTCTACAACCAGCGATGATAATTTCATGAGCTGCGGTGCTTCACAGTGCAAAACGAGTGGCGGTAGTCCGGCCCTCTCCTCTGCACAAATAACACTTCTGGTGTGAATGTTTTAACAGGATCTATAAGTAGGTCTAACGTTTGATATGAAGTGAAATTAAATGTGCGAGAGGAATCATTTTACATATGATTATTCCTCTCACATTTTATTTCTACTATCTGGGTTCAATTCACCACCTCGCCATCTGCGTCACCAGTTTCTCCGTGTCTCCATAATGTGCGTACGCACGGGTAAGAGTTTCCGTAGAGGTGCGCACATTCTCCAGTCAAGTTTGTTTTTGCAGATCACAACTTTTGCGTAAAACTCCAGCAACATTTGTACAGAACAACGTTATTGATAGACTGAAGTGTATGGGCTTGTGGCCTTCATCAGGATCATCCATCTATTTCTAGAAAAGAAAGAGCAGACATACCTTTAGTTGGAGTCCTTTCTTGTTCTTCAAAACTGGAGTGCTTGGCCGAATTTGGCTGCCTCTTCTTTTTTGAGTCACTGATGAGAATAGAAATGATATTTAGCACACACATCATCACTACCAACAAAGTCAAATTGAGATGTTTGATTCATGCAAAGAATTGAGAAATCTTACTTCACCCACGAACTGTAGATGTCTAATAACGATGGAGATGTCTCCTCCTGCAAACCCAAAACATCAAATCATTTAAGACCGTTTATTAGGCTCTTCTAATACATAATGGGTCCTGGCTAGATGTCAATAACAGCTCCTAAGGGCACGATCACACAAAAAAACAGTAGAAAATAAGTTTGAAAACTACTGCAGAGAAGAGTATGGGACTTAACACTGAAAGCGTGTAGAAAAGCACTCATTACACTATAAAAATACATTTTGTTAATGTTGTTCCTGACTTATAAAGTCTGTATGACGATATGTGGAGGACAGGAGCGTCGAAATAGTTTTGTATACTCAACAGAAGTTGGTAGTTTAAAAGTAAAGACTAACGCACAGAATAAAAAGGCTGGTTCCTTTTCAAAAACGCTAATATTGTTGCACAGCAATTGAAACATAGTTGCAAACTCCAGCAGCTACAGCACTTCACACCAGCTAGCAGTCTGTGTGTGTGTGTGTGTGTGTGTGCGTGTGTGTGTGTGTGTGTGTGTGTAATGACCTGTGGGCTGTGCCTCTGTAGCTCAGCTGCAGCTGAGTGGAAACCATGCTCCTTCAAATGGCGGTAGATCAGCTGGGTCAGATCGTGTTTTGATGAGTTCGCTGACATGTTCGACGCACTAAGACAAATAAACACGCAAAAGTACCTACTAACTTAAAAGTAGTTTCATATTAAAATTGGCCACACACTTCCCTGACACTGCTACTCCACCGAAACACGCATGTTAGCACGCTGACCTCTGCACTCAGGATGTGGTTCCGTTTACCGCTGCAATGCACCATGGGGGATGTAGTTCTTCCGCGGAACAGCTGCTGTTCAGTCACGGCCGTCAGTGGTCTATGCAAACTATATTTCAAATAAAGTCTTCCCGTGCTAATATAAAATATCCTTTAAGAATATATTTAAGTTATTATGTTGGAACGTCTTTTTGGTCGGGTTATTGTATTCTATGTTTGTCCGGGCACAGTCTGCACACTTCATCTAGATTTGCTTTTTTTAAACCAGAATATCACAGTGGCCCCAATGTTTCATTGAGGCACTCACACCAACTGACAAAGACCCTTTCTCTTTACATTTCCAGAACTATTCTTTGATTTGGTTCAATTTTAGCTCAATTTTAGCTCAGTTGCATATTCTGTCTCAGGAAAGACACCCGCTCCCTTAAAACAGCCAAGGCCTGGATGATTTGGATCCATGTAATATAGGTAATTTTCCCCAGGGGTAAGGTGAGTTTACTGGAAGAGATAATAGTGATCTACCATATCAGTTGTTACTCTTGTAGCTCTAGGTTTCTTCACTCAGCTGTCTTCATATATCTCTTCATGCTGGAAAAAAATTCTTCAACCACAAAGATGACCCACAAGCTCTCCAGTCCAATAGACAAATCAGACTAACTTTTCAAAAGCTGTCAGGAAGATCAATCTCTCGTTGCTCAGGTGTATTTGGATATCCATAAAGCAAGGCATTCTCTGTCTATCTGTGTATCTTGAGAACCATGAAACTTGGCCAAATGGTGGCGCTATATGACACCAAAAAAACTTTACGTTTTTGCCCGTAACTTTTACTTTAACGGATTGAGACGAGCTTGTCGCTTGCAGTGGCTCATTGACTGCAGTTCCCTTTTGGTGGTGGAGGCTGGATATACAAGTGTTTCCACCACTACTCTTCACTTGCCTGGAGTCAACGAGCGCTGAGCGGTTCTTGATAACGCTGCAATGAGCTCTTCCAGGGGCCAAGGAATTGGTCCCCTCCGAACAGACACTGCACTTGTTTGGATAAAAGCATAACTGTTTTTTCAACTGGCTGGTTTGAGAAGAAACTAAAGGTGACTGGGCAGTGGATCCGAGAGAGCTGGTGGTGAGACCTTGGGTCCAACTGGAGGAGAGTATTGGGTAAGCCGAAGGTCAGCAGGAGCAAACAGTTGAAAGAGTCCCATTCATGGATCGAAACCAGGAAAGGAAAGCAGTGTGTATTCCAAACTCATCATCTGTGCTCAGTGGGTCTCACCAAGCTTGATTTCACCATCTCCCACAAACCCTCCACCCTAAATACACACTCTACACACACACACACATACCACAGATTTGGCAAAACGAGCTGGTTATGAGTCTGACTCAGCTCCCATTCGTGTTTATGGGACAGACCACCAAGGTTTTATGGAAGAATAACAATTTGTAAAATTGGAAATGTAATAAATCCTCCGCCCACTTTTACCTAGATGTCACGATATGTTGAATTAATATACGGATACGTGTTAAATAGCAATTTAGAAAGAGGGATAAAGTTATCGGAGAGACCGAGGAGGCCAAAAAACTTTACATCCCTGAGCACAAGAAAAAAGAAGCAGGGCATTTCCCTCGGCTTTGATGACATGTCGAAGTAAAAATATTTGTACAGGTTACCCTTGTAAATGGCACTCTGTTTCACAGGAAATACATCTACTTTACATTCCACACATTTAGCAGCTCACATCTGCGCTCACTCGGCAGCTAATTACCTACAGCTACACCCGGTGAGATTTGTTATTACTGGGGACCTTTAATGTGTCACAACCTGCCTCTTTGAACAGCACTGAAACATTTATTTTGTAAAACATTTCAAGATGTATTAATATCTCGTTCTAAAGGATTACGACTCATCAGTCCATTATAAAACTCAAGAACCCTTTGAGGAAATTTCTAATAAAGAGTGATTGCTCATTGAGTCCCTTTGAAACGCTCATCCAGGTGGCTCTGCTGTAGAGTCATAATGAAGTGTTGATAAGTGTTGTGTCTGGTCTTCCTGCCCAGGTGCTGCTGCAGATCCACAAAAGCCAAATCAAACACACCTTCAGTCTGTAGCCCTGGACTGCTGCCTCACCTGTGAGGTCCCACCTGGCACCAAGCCTATAAATCACAGTAACCAAACTCTCACTCACTGCACTTCGTCACAGAAAAACAGCCAACTTGACATTTTCCATTTCTGCCAATAAGACCCCCTAAATCCTGCAATTCTGTTTTGCAGATATGGCACCTTCCACTCACAATGCCAGAAGACAATCCAAAGACAGATTGTATCTGCACTCATCTGAATTTCAAGTTGGTCTATGTGTTCTATAGCATTACTAATCAACCATAAGACATTAAAAAAATGTACTTTGAACCATTTTCTCTCATCTTCTGTGTTTCTGTAGTCACTACAGGTCTACCTTTGTAGGGCAATAGTCGTTCACTATTTTGCCCTAAATGTACCCCAGACTTGATGAACTGATGTTGAAAAAAATGATAACTCTAGTAACAAAGGCACTTTTGTACAAGACCTATTGAAGTGAAGGTTTTTGCTCTCGGTTGACGCACAGGCCGAAAGAAAACCTCCATCCAGTCTTACTCAGATTAGAAAATTGGGTAAAGAGGGGAAGTAATGTGCAGGTTTACTGGCAGGGCTGTGTTGATTAGAAAGAGGGTAGTGTTCATGGTGAAGGGGAGCAGCCGTATTCAGTAACAACGCCTCTTCCTTTAACCTTTAGCCAAAGCCAACATGTGGTGCCGACACAGAGCAGCAGCAGCAGCAGCACCCCCAATCCTGCTTCCCTTTCAACTCATTATTTTATTTCATGGTTTCACAGAAAAAAGGCTTAGAACCTGTTCGGAAGATTGTTTGGAGATTAAGAGTTGGTTAAACCTAGTCGTTGGAGATAAAATACATGAGTTTATATTGCTCATGCTTTTTAGTCATTAAGCTTATTCTTGATCAGACAGTAAAAAAATGTAACCACACACACACACAGAAGAAAAGGTGAAAGGTTTAGAAAAGCTATGTTGTGCCTTTTTCAAACTTCATTCATGTATCCCTAGTTTGAAGCAATAAACTCTTCATTCTGAAAACGTCCTTTTGACATTAAGTAATTCAGGAGAAAGCAGGAGAGAGTAATGAAGAGATGAAAGAAAAACAACTAAGAGTCTGAGAATGTGACCAGCAGACTTTCCACTGTCACAAATGGGTCAACATCAACCCAGCATTTCTGGTTCATTAAAGGAGAGTGACTTGCTTCTTCTTCTTGACATGACTGTTTACCGTGTCTGAATCATGCTATTACCGGAATAACACAGCGGTTTACAAGAATGCTAATAAATGAACTCATTTTTTATTCTTAGCTCATTTTGAAATTGAGCAGCCCAAGAAAAGCTGTGACAAACAAATAACTGGAAATAACCTTCAGAATCCAAATATGATGTTTGTTCAACAATTGTAAGCTAACATGTTTCCATAAATACTGTCATCAAACAATTTCTTGGTTGAATTCTTTATTTTGGCAATTTGACAGTTCAAAAAAAGATTGGCAAATGTGCAATGTAAGCTGCAATATGTCTGTGGTATCAACGCAGCAACATCTTTTCATAATTTAGAGTGTGACAAGTATGCGGGCACATACTTGTGTTAATATTTGTGTGTGTTTGAGTTGGTCTGTGTCAGTATATGTATATTATTTGTATAGTGGTGTTGGTTGTGAGTTGAAATGTTGTTGACCCGGTGAGCTGCCACAATTACACCTCTGACCAACAGAAAACAGATGAGTTATCTCTCATAACTGTGACTGCCCAAAGACCTGGAGACTAATTACTTTCCTGACAAAAGACAAACACGCACACGCACACACACACACACACACACACACACACACCCACAGATTGCACAGTCCCCATCCATATTGTGAACTTACTATAATTGATAATATTCAGTCCCTCACAACATCTCTCTGGTTTTTGCTAGGGTTTTTGCGATAACGCTCAGCTGTCTGAGCCGCTCCCTTTAGGAAAACTACATAAATAAACACCAGGATGTAAAACTTTAGGTGCACCTCAATTCTCTCTCTTTCCCAGCTTGACCTGCCGTAAACTCAAACGCTCCGCTCCAAAGATGCCTTTGCCGCAGCTGCTGGGCAAACATCCCCGGCCGCAGCTTGATGCCCTTTACGGGAGGCTCATACTCATACTTCCTTTGGCCTCCATGCCCGCAAGTCTCTCTCAAACCAATATCAACATTTGCAAGGTGTGATGTTTTATCTTCCAGTGTGTTGAGGCCATGTTTCACCTCAACAACCCAGATTTAGGTTTAGGTTTTGAACAATATTTGGGCCAACACAATCAATATAGTATCTTATTCATTTAGACTACACAATTTCAGCCCAATAATGTCGCAGTCCATTTTCCCACATAGTTTGAGAGAATGTACAACGTGCTCCATGACACCATGGTTGTTGATATTTCTCATGCTGTGAGTCTGGGCCTTCCTGTCTGACCATCACATTTGGGTAGCCACCTGGTCAAAATATCTGTGGTCAAAATGCTGTATTGTAGATGTGTAAGTAATAGTAAGAGACAGAAAGATTGGTCCAGGTTCAATGTGTAGGCTGACGTGTCTCGACCAGGTCACGGTAGATTTTAGGGCAACATCTGATCTGACATTGTGACCATCTTGAAAGACATACATTTTATGTCTACTCCATTATAAGCTGTGTTGCTTAAAAATCATCGTCCTTTGATCTACATATCCTCCTGCACAATTGGCACAAGTGTCCTCTATATTTTCGTCATTAATTGATACGCTCCACAACTCTCCACAGAAGTTCCTTGATTCCCAGTCAAAGTTAATCTTCAGCATGTGTGTGCTGAGGCGGTGCAGTCTTGCTGCAGTCTGTTGACCTGCTATAGATGATTTGTAAAGTGATTCTTTGAGACCCGGTTGGAGATGTTATCAGAGTCTGGGAAGCCTGCTCTGTCTCTCTCCTCGGGTCTGCAGCACTCATAAAACAGCAGGAATAATAAGAGAGTGTTTGTGAGTGCAGGGGAGTAGAGTGGGGAACAGTGTCTGTGACTGTGTCTGTTGCTCAACTCTCCCCCACACACCGTGTTTTTCTGAGCGAGGGCCTTTCTGTGGAGTCTCTGTCATCCCCTGCTAATAGAGGTCGGATTGGAATGATTTTTTTTCTTGCTTTCTAGTAATTTGTAAATGGCATGAATGAAGAGGGTGAAAGCGTTTTTTCTGCTTTCATGTTTGAAGCTTCTTTTACACTGGCGGGAGCAAATGTGAACATTTGCAACAGAACTACAGTCATCAAATTCAAGGATTTTTCAGAACAAGATCCAAATCTAGCAAACACATCACTGCCTACTGTCAAGATACATAAAATTGTACCACAAGGTATCTCATATGAGATATAAGCTCACTTTTACCACCTAGATGTAGCATTTCTGTATGTGTTTTTGGGTGGTATGGGGGCTGATGTTATTTTAATGAGGCAGCAAGGCAAAGAGGCGGGGTTAATGGGGACCAGAGGGGAAAGTGAAATGTTTTCAAAAGGAGGCTGAAACAGTTTGGAGAGCAGTAAGGATGGAGGAGGTGTAGCTTTTCTTTGAGTGGCACTTTTCGGATCGCTGGACTGCATTTAAGGGACCAATTGTTCAGACGTCTGATGAGTTATACTGTACTTATGTTCACTCTCAGCCTCACTGCACAATGATTTGCTGACAATATACTGAATACTTGCTTCTTTGACTGACGTTAAGTGTCACAGGAACCATGGCAACGACAGCTCTGACCGGGTTCTCTATGATGAGCCTGCTCAGCCTCGGGTACCTGACCTGGGACCTAATGAGTCCTAACCAGGTGGAGAACGAGCCAGATCAAACTTTTGTTGACACGTCTCCCATTCCGCAGCCTCCTCACATCATTTTCATCATGACGGACGATCAGGGATTCAACGACATCGGCTATCACAGCTCTGACATCAGGACACCGGCGCTGGATAAACTAGCTGCAGACGGAGTGAAGCTGGAGAATTATTACATCCAGCCCATCTGCACGCCCTCCCGCAGTCAGCTCATCACCGGCAGGTAAAATGTTTTTTTCTGGTTCCTTTCTTTTTTTGCCACGTTATTATTATCATTATATAATTTCAAATTCCACTGAGATGTGAAATTAAATAGCATTGTCTGAAAAAATAGAATTACTTTTAAATGTTTAGCACCAACCTGAATATGAGATCTGAGAGTCATATAATAATCTTTATTATGTTTTTCTGCCACATTTAAGCCCTGTGGTGGAAAAAAAACTATTTAATAATACCGAGTGAGTCCTATAATACTGAATACTGAAATAAGAAACATTGAGAAAAGAAGTTTGTCTTTGGAATATTTATTCCCTGCGCAGAGAAGGCTTCATCGTCATAAAGAGTACAGTGTCTCTATTGCTTATAAGCACCTCAGCACACAGAGTGGGGGAACATCATGTATTTACATTATATCAATTGATCAGCAGTTTCAAACTGCCCATTGACACCTCCAGTCATCCCCTTCCTCTTCTGAACCTTGTCACACAGAGACATCTGTCTTTATTACCCTCGCTTATCTCTGGGAATCTTCACACCTAAACTTTCTCTGGTTAAATGCACCCCCATTCAGTTACTTCCTCTTATGGAAGCAAAGGCAGAGATACCCCATATAGCCTTGTTACCATTCTGCTAGGTACACAATCACATGTCACATATATGGATTTGTTAGTGAGTAAGGCACATAAGCTAAGTCACAGTAGAAATGTACTGGCATAGGGAAACTTCTCCATAGTAGCCCTGGCAATACAAGCACTGTGTCTCTTATTTGTTTATTTGAATTGTATGTCACCTGACATGATAAAATAAGTGTTATAAAAAAGCTATATATATATTTCACAGCTGTTGAACATTTGTTAAGTTGAGGGAGGAAATGGGAACAATCTCCCTCTTATCTCTTCTCTTACTCCATGTCCCATCCTTCTGTGTGTAATTATCTAACCATCTGTTGGATCTGATTATTGATTACACGTTTGTCCTTCTCACAGTTTTCTTAATCATTAACCCTACAGGTACCAAATTCACACTGGCCTGCAGCACTCCATCATCCGGCCCCGCCAGCCCAACTGCCTGCCCTTTGACCAGGTCACCCTACCCAAGAGACTGCAGGAGCTCGGCTACGCCACCCACATGGTTGGCAAGTGGCACCTGGGCTTCTACAAGAAGGAGTGCCTGCCCACTCGACGGGGCTTCGACACATACTTTGGCTCCTTGACGGGCAGTGTGAACTACTACACTTACGACTCTTGCGACGGCCCTGGGCGATGTGGTTTTGACCTCCATGAGGGGGAGTCGGTCGCATGGGGTCAGGGGGGCAAATACTCAACACATCTCTACACACAGAGAGTTCGCAAGATCCTGGCAACTCACGATCCTCAGTCCCAGCCACTGTTCATATTTCTCTCTTTCCAAGCTGTTCATACACCCCTGCAGTCTCCGCGCGAGTACATCTACCCGTACCGCGGGTTGGAAAATGTGGCACGCAGGAAATATGCTGCTATGGTGTCAGCTGTAGATGAGGCAGTACGCAATATAACATATGCTCTCCGCAAGTATAGTTACTACCAGAACAGTGTCCTCATCTTCTCCACTGACAACGGTGGGCAGCCTTTGTCCGGCGGCAGTAACTGGCCGCTCAGAGGACGTAAAGGCACTTACTGGGAAGGTGGCGTACGGGGTCTGGGGTTCATCCACAGCCCTTTGTTGAGGAAGAAGAGGAGAGTGAGTAAAGCCCTGGTGCACATCACTGACTGGTACCCCACACTGGTGGGATTAGCAGGTGGCAATGGGTCCCTGATGGAGGGGGTGGATGGGTATGATGTTTGGGAAGCCATCAGTGAGGGGAAGGAGTCACCCAGGTTGGAGATCCTCCACAATATTGACCCTCTCTATAACCATGCACGCAGTGGCTCCCTGGAGAAAGGATATGGGATTTGGAATACAGCTGTTCAGGCCTCCATACGAGCTGGAGACTGGAAACTCCTCACAGGAGACCCCGGCTACGGAGACTGGACACCGCCACAGATGCTTTCGGGTTTCCCCGGCAGCTGGTGGAACCTGGAGCGCCACACTGAACCCCGGAAATCGATCTGGCTTTTCAACATCTCTGGAGATCCCTACGAACACTTTGACCTTTCTGAGCAGAGACCAGATGTTGTCAAACAGCTGCTGGCTAGACTGGTATACTACAATCGCACTGCGGTGCCAGTAAGGTACCCATCAGAGGACCTACGGGCTGACCCCCACCTGAATGGAGGGGCCTGGGTGCCTTGGGTAGGAGATGAGGAGGAGGACAGCTGGGATACTGTCTACCGGAAAAAGAACAAGAATTGGAAAAAGAAGCTGAAACTGTCCAATAGCAGGTCGTTTTTCAGAAGACTCAACACTAGGATCATGTCCAATAGGATATAGAAAGCACATGACTGACAGAGGTTCAGAAGAGACACTTGTGAAGAAATATGTGTTTTTGTTGAACAAGGAAGCAAGCGCCTGCAAGATCTAGCTGCAGTTACGGAGTTTTAGCTGCAGGTGTATGTTCAGTCTCTCTAGAAAAACTGTGTGATGAAAACATTCACGGAGAGAGTACTAATTGTTCAACTGGTTTGTATCTATTTGGAATACAAAATGTTTGTTACCTTAAATTGAATATTCTGTAATGAAAATGGGAGTTGATTTCATCTCACAAGAGATGTATGTAATCAAATGTGTGTGTGAGAGAGAGACCTACACAAGAAACGATTTTTTGATATTATTAGAATTGCTGTATTTGACATGGATGACAAGGTGACAAAGATGAATCATCTGCAACCATTTGTAACTATAATGAACATAAAAGATGACTACCTCTACCTCAAGCTTTATTTCTTTCATTGAAACCCCCGTTGTCAATGTCTTCCCCTAATATTAGGATAATATTATTACTTGTGTCAGTAAAATGTCATTGCCTTGCAAGGCTTTTTGAATTGAAATGAGCTTAATGGGTAAATGAATGTAAATGTCGCTCCGTATCTGTTGGATGTGTACTGTAGCTCACAACAGCAAAATAATCTGTAATCAAGACATTATCATTGTGGACAGTCTGGTTCGGATCATGAACTCTTCAAGCAAAAACAAATAGCATGAAACACAAGTCAAAACTAAAAAAGTGCACTCGGTAGAGTGCAGATCTCTGCCAGGTGTGTCTGCAAAGACCACCGCTGTATTGTGTGATTGAATGAATACAACCAATGCTGTAAAGCATCGTCAACCAGACTTCATTCAAACTCAAAAACAAGCAGTGATGTAAAGTTATCCAAGAAGCAAAGTACAGCAGTGTGCACTGGTAGTAATGAGCTATTAGCCAAACACAGCTTCCAAAAGATAATAGTGTGCAAACTGTTTCCTCCACAAGGTGTCTCTGGGTGCAAACTAGCAGCTGCAGGTCGTAGATGCCCTCAGCTTTGTTTTCACTAGTGGTCCTTAGCGGCCGGGGATCGTTTAAGAGTGGTGAGTGAGGTGTCAGCAGGCCCTCATAAGCAGAAAACAGGCTGAAAACGCTGTTCTGAGAAAGTGTGAGTCACTGCAACCACGAGAGGTCCCCGAGGACGCAGCCATAACTGTTAGCAGTTTGCAGCAGCAGAATGTAAGATTAGCGGTGGACAGACCCAGAGGTGCACACTCACTCAGTCACACACACGATCAAACACATAACCTCCCTCCAGGCTTATGCCTGGCGGAGATAAAGAAGAAGAATGTGTATTCTTGCGTTGGCTCATCAAGCGACATGTGAATCTTCCATCATGTAGAAAGTTGTGCACAGAAATGTTTGCTGATCTGTAACTTAGATAGGAAACATATGAAGGTGCCTTTGTGTGTGTAAGGGTTAGAGTTAAGGTTAACCCTAACCTACAGGTCGATCTGTAAGTTGTGTGACCATAATGAACTCTGCCATTTGACAGATCTCTCGCATCTAATGTAAACTACAAGCCTTGTTTTTGGATAGAGCCTGTTTTTCTTGTTTAGTTTGAGGGGAGACACCTCAGGCAAAAACAGTGTTTTTCATGCACAATTTTGACACTTTGGCTAATTTGCATTCATAAAATGGCAGAATCATCTAAATGACATGTGTTTATTTTACTATACTTTGTCTATTTTCCGTATATAGATTCCTCCTTAATCCACCAAAAGTTTGCATTAGAAAATGCCTCAATTGCATATTTAAACATACAATTTCAGAATCCTTGTAATACAAAAAAATGTAAATAATCAACTGGGAAAGTTTTATGGTGCTATCTTTCAGTTAAACAATTTACCTTATTCTTTGGTGAGTCCCCTTAAAAAGTTTACTCTTTTACAGTCACCCACTGCAGTTAGAGTTCTCACTTCTTTTTTTTCCAGAAAAAGAAGAAGTATACTAATATTTAAAGTTGCCTTGCAAATGTACTCTGGTTGAAACATGTTGAAACTGTGATCCCATTCAAAGCAAAACCTGAGATTCAGTTTCACATGTGAGATTTCAACACAAAAGAAAATTATACTGCCTTATAAAGGATAACGCAGTAGGCTACCTATTTGGCCAGAATTTAGGTAAAACCTCTATTTCACATTTGTCTCCCATCTGTTTGTATATATCGAGCTTACCAGTTCTCTGTAGCTATAATGTCACAGTAAATTGCATGTGATTTGTTGTAGGCCAGATAAGCTACTTTTAAATCACATACTTAAATCTATTAAATTGTAAATGAATTTATTATATTGACCTGAACAGGTAGAAACTCAGCCAAACACAGACACAATTGTCCTTCAAGTTATGGACTGTAAATATCAAAGTAAAGTTTTTATAGTTACAGTAAAATGTAAAATGGATAAGTAAGCAACATTTTATTGGTAGACGGCCTGCAGTTTCTCCGAGCACACCTAAAAGCAGAGTACATCTGCATGTTTTAAATATTGGGTGGATTCGATGGTAATATTGGAGAAACATAATCAGCCTAAAAACACATAAATCTAAAGCATTTCAACTTTTTGATCAGGTTTAGTTTGCTGTCCAGCCTGAAAACAATAGGTCTGGTTTTTCTAAACTTCACTGCCTCTGGAGTCGTTACTCTCTGCCTTTGTAGGGCTCTACATCTGGCTGCCAGAGACTTGTGTTTGAAATGAGAAGTGAAACAAGTCCCTGCCTTCCGAACGATATCTAACCGCCAACCGCGTGCTGTTTCCTGTCAGTATATGTGACAACCTCATTCTGTTTCAGCAGATTTAACAGGGATTAGTTCATTTCTATATGCAGCTCAGTTGTTTTTTTTAAAGGTTAAAGTTATTGTGGATGACAGAGGAGTATGGAGCCAGTGCTTATTCTTCTTGTGATGTTAGCTGGAGTATCGCATGGTAAAATCCTCATTATGAAAGAAACATTTTAATCATGTGCAAAAGGTGAATTATTTAAGATGATTCACTTTGAATATGCCTTGTTCCAGCTTTCTTTCCAGCTGGTGAGACTAAATGTAATGCCACACAGAACACGTCTCTGTGCTCTGCTACTCTCGGAGGATCTGTGTACATCCAACTGATGACCAACGCCAGTGGCCAGCAGCTGAAGTGTAAAAAAAAGCTTCCCACTGGATCCATAAATGTATTCTCTCTGAAGAAAGAAAGGGTGACTATACAGGAGTCTTATAGAAACAGGACAGAGTTTTTCATCAACAGCGGGACACTAAAGATCACAAAACTGGAGAGGAATGATTCGGGTCAATACACCGTAGACGTCTTTGATCCAGAAGGGATCCAACTGAGAACCATTAACGTTAAGCTGGATGTTCAAGGCAAGTGTTTAAAACCTTCCTCTCTTCCAGCTTATAAAAGGTATAATCAAAATGTAATCATTACTGTACACATAGCAGTTACTGTAATCAAATGCTGATATGAAGGCTGTGTAGTGTGTTGTCCAAACACCACTACTTTCAAGAGCTGCTTTACTTCCTCAATTTGATAAATTTTCAAAATGTACCAAAAAATGCCCTAAAAATGCCAAATATACTGTATAACCGAGTGCAGCATCGCACTGTGGCAAATTATTCCTGACAATATTCTTAAAGATAATCTTCCCATATAATCACTGATTATTTACTAAATATAGACTATACTCTGTGGGTTGCACTGATGAAAGGTGCTGTGAAAAAGAGATAATAGGTGCAGCACATTTAACTTGCTGTGGTTCAAATGTTACTTTCGGTATTTGTCCACTTTGGTCTTGTACACATCTTTTCACCCAGGACAAGTTTTTTATTTTTTTAAAGATGAATATTAACGGTTTCTTAACCAGGACATAAAGTGAAAATAAAAAAAACATAACTCCACTACTGGAGTTTTTGTCTTCCCTGTATAATGGTGGTTGGTAGAAACGGTAGGGTGTGCCCCTTTTTATGGCCTCACACTAACGAAACAAACCGCACGCTCATAAGGGGAGAATAGGGTAAAAAAACAAATAAATAAATATCGCCATGAAACTTCGCCTGAAATGTCCCCAGCTGATTACGTACATTAAGACAAGTATTTAGAACCAGGTTTGAAAATATTTCTTTCATTTTGTTGACATATTTGTTTTTATTAAGGGCATGGTTGGTAATTCTTATCACTCGATAGATCAAAACATTTTCAACAGCCATACAAAATCTATTTCTGCCATTTTATTTGGATTACAACATCATAAATCATTGTATAAATCTGGCTATGATTGATTTATGAACAAAGCCCTCTGTAGAAACTATAGAAGAATATAGATTGGGATAAAACAGGAAAGTTTGATGCATGTAAGTGCTACTGCAGTGGAGATTTCTGGCTCATTGTATGAAAAACTATATATTTTTGAGAAAACGGCCTTTAAAGATGTGTATTGTGAAATTCCGTACATTTTGCAAGACACTATAGACACTATATGTAAATATGTAAACAAACTAATAGATGTCACCATGAAACTTTGCCAGATGATTTCTAACATTAAGACAATTATTTTTGCATTACAAGTATTCTGTAATGTTATGTTTAAATGTGCAAATGAATATATCTAATTCTAACATTTGGTGAATTTAGGAGAAAGACACAAATAGACAAAGTAGTTAAATAAACACCTAAATGTGTATTTTGGATGTTTTTCTTCCACTTGAAAGAAGTCATGTTATGGCAGCAAAATAACCCAAAATTGACCAGTGCATGAAAAACAATGTTTTCACCTGTTGGTGAATGTTGGTGAATGTTATGCAATTTGCTGCAGGTATACAGGGATTACAAGGAGGACTTTTTCTCTCCAATCAACATCATTATTTCCATACTCAGCCAACATATTGTTATTTAAGGCGCGAACAAAACGTAACATATGAATACATCCAAGTGAAAAACTTAAATGTACATTTAAGTGCTGTGCAGTATCATAACCA